TTTGCATAATGTACTGCATTAGACCGAGTAACAGATCGACTGAGTAAGAGTCGCTCATTCAAAATAAGTGATTTAAAATTAATGAATGCCATTTTACAAATGTATACGCTCAATATGAGGTCTTATTTAAAATATGCATACGCATTCACTTACAATTTTTACGCCACACGTGATTTCATTGAAAATTCAGTGGCCTCGGAGTTTTGTGTCCTTGTGTTCTTTGCATAGATAATTAATTACCACATGTGAACTCAAACAACAGTATTTTTGACCCTAACCCCTAGTGTATCGTATAGATTACTTGGTAACCATACAGTTGTGGCCCATCATTCATGACATTTCAGTGTGCACTTCTGACCAAGTTTAGTCTTTTTCAGATTTAATTATGTGTTTCTTTATAGGAAGCATGTCGAAGTCTAGAGAGTGGAATACGAGAATAAACTTTCTTGAGTACTATGCTCATAATTTCTACTTCTTATTTAGCTACATCTCGCCACCACACAGATGTGGATTCTACAAGTGTTCCAAGGTCAGCGCGATTCTTGCTCTCAAGTAGTTCTGTGGGAGATGATCAAGTCTCCTCTTCCGGTGGAGAGTACATCAGTCCCGCTTCAGCTTCCTTCGAACACGAGGAAGAGTGTGAAGAAATATTTGCCTCCCCTATGCCACTTCAACTTCCTCCCACTGCCCCTCTATTCCCAACTCCATTGCGAATTTCCCATCGAAAACTAGAAAGTCCCTCGCCATCTTCTAGCTCAACTTCACAAACCTCCTCCTCATCGACTTCATCTTCTCCTTCGTCTCCAACATCTAATGGAAAGTCACCTGTGAAACAGCCACCATCGATTCTCTTACAACCTTCTTCTGCACACACCCCTGACTTCTCATCTCTCCCTATTCCCACTCGAATATCCGATCAGTCAATGGTTGGAGGTGGAAGTGAAGGAGGGAACTTAGTTTCTGGAGGGGGTGGACAATTCCACACTTGTCCTCATGTCCGTCCCGCATCACTGCTCTCTTCCCAACAGCGAAAGATGCTGCTGGGGGTTGGAGCCGATTCAGGATTCCATTTGCAAGGTGGAGGAGGTGGTAAATCGAATTCCCCAAATGCGATTTTCTCATCAATAGGAGGAGGAGAAAGGACAGGAACGGGGACAGATTTGTCACTATCTGCGGCGGTAGCAGCCATGGAACGATGCAGTCTGGCCTCCTCTGGATTCCAGTCACATTCGAGGAATTCGAGTTTTGAATCGGACGGATTGTCTCGGTAAGTCAGCACAGCAATGTAATCAATCTAGATTTTGAGCTTTGCTGCAACTGACCCAATAACTCACAATCATGCAAAAATATCAATATTTAATTGGGAGAGTGAGTTGGAATCGCTTTGCAATATGGCAAATGAATTTTAAAGTGAATTTGAATAAAATGCGCTGATCGAGGTTAAGGTTTCAAGTTGTCTTACCTAATTTACTTGTTGCATTTGGTTGTGAAATACTTGCAAGATGTGGAGTTAATGATCCGAAATTCAATTTTCAAAATTTACATCCAGTAAGTGGTTGCTAGCAACACTGTACTCACTTCCGTTTTATCTGTCGGTTTTGTTAATTCAAATAATAATTTTTTCTGTGGTGGGAAATGCAAAATCTGTCCACTTGGTATTTAGCCGATTACAGTCATTTATTTATTTTAAATGGTAGGCGTTTTGATAGTTATCATTGGCCCTTTAGCTGACTTCGGGCTTCACAGGGGGAAGGAACATCAAAGTAACAGAAAGTCCAGGGGCGGGGAACAGAAGAGTGATTTACAGATGTAAAGAGACAGATATGAAGGCAGAGAAAAGGTAGGATGAGTACTGCGCCAGAAGTCAATCGCCAGTTAATAGACTTTTTTGCCGTATAAGTATACGTTGCTCAGGGTGCACCACGTGGAGGTAAGTCTATCACGCACCCCCGTTTACAGTCATAATATGGAAGAAATGAAATATTTTCAAGTCAAAAATGACAGAACTCTGTTTGCTGTGAGCACTGCAGATGAACGGATTGAAAATATTAATGCTCATGTTTATAAAGTAATTTATTCAACTATGAGAATAAGACTTGAAGCATGCACTTTTCCTCCGAAGGTCGCATGTTTACCTTCTTAAACCGCACAGGTCGCCACCTGTTGTTTTGAGTTTTGCATTGCAGTATTCTGATTTATTACTTCCAAAACTGACTTAAGAAAGTGTTCTTCCATCACTCATATTGAGTGTTGAGTGGGTTCGACCTGTGTCGCTCACCTTATTAATCAGACTTAGCTCATTGCCTTTGACCTTTCCCACTCACTGATTGGTTGCGTGTCCTTACATCGAAATCGTGCACGATGACTAATTTGTCACAGAAGAAAGTGCTCTCCATTGGTGATTTTTCCATCTCTATTGTCAAAGAGGTGGGTTCAAAATTTGATGAGTTCTGGAAATCTGCTGCATTCTTCACTGATTAAATCCCAGGAGAACTTTATGGAGAGCGACTACTTCTTCATTTTCGGTCTCATTTCGTTACAGGGACACGCCCACTTAGTGTTCCTCTTACTACACAAAATTCTACTCAACTAGTCCTGCTTGTTATTTTACCAATTGCGATTGTTCGATTCATTCGACAGTTGGCTTGTTTGATGGTATTTCGAGCAAACGGAAATAGCTCCGATCGTTTTTTTGGGACTCATTCTTTCGAGAGCCCTGTTAGATTCGATTCATTAACAAATTGAAGAGCGACAAGTCTTGTAGATAGCTTAGGGTAACTAATGCATATCATCTAATAACGGCAATCAGCAGAAAGTTGCAGTTCCTCAGACGAGGAAGACACTTCAAGCTTTGATTAGGGTAAGCGTATTGTCAATTCACCTGTGCCTGTGATTCTGTGCATAGAGTGGTGGAAATATGTGGATTGGTTTTTGACACCACAGATTGAGGAAATTGAACTCTAATGCGGAGCATCCAAGAACCACCTGATTAACTTCTCCCACTTATTAAAATAAACCACCTGAGAGCACATAGTAGTTCTCTTCTGGCAACTTAAGTTCACCACAGATTTAAAAAAGACCGTTCAAAGTAAAGGTTATGCTAACTCAAGGATATATCCTAAAGCCCCTTTTTTACATTTCTCAATTGAATTAGTTACTAGAGTGTTA